AGCAAGAGCAGGAACACAAGCAGGGAGAGTGGGAGAGGGAGAAGTCGGCTTCCCACCAATCAGGGAACCCAATGTGGGGCTCAATCCCAGAACCCCGGGATCATGACCTGAGCAGAAGGCAGATGCTTGATGACTGAGCCACTCAGGCTCCCCTAAATAAATAAATAAATTTTTAAAAAATTTTTTCATTTATTTAACAAAGAGAGAGAACACAAGAAGGCAGAGAGGCAGGCAGAGAGAGAGAGAGGAGGAAGCAGGCTCCCCACCAAGCAGAGATCCCGATGCAGGGCTCGATCCCAGGACCCTGAGACTATGACCTGAGCCAAAGGCGGAGGTCTAACCCACTGAACCACCCAGACACCCCAATAAATAAATAAATCTTAAAAAAAAGAAAAAGAAAAGCAGTTGGCCATAAATATAAGAGTTTATTACTGGATTCTTAATGGTATTCCCTTCATCTGTATGTTTATCCTTTTGCAAGTATCCTCCTCTTTGGTCTTTCCCTCTCCTTCATCCTCCATCCATCCAGTCAACGACAGCAAACTCTGCGTCTGTCTGGGATCGGTGCTGTGTCTGGACATGGGCCTACGACAGTAAGCAGGACAGATGCTCTCTCTGGCCTCACAGACCAAAAATTCTTTTGGGGGCGGCTGCACAATAGGCAAGTAAAGAGATTAAGGAAAAAGATTATTTCAGACAGTGACTAGTGCTGCGGAAACCAAAAGGAGGTTATGTGATAGAGAGTGACCAGTGGACATTACAGAGGGGCTCTTTGAATTGGGGTGCAGGGGAAAGCCTCTCTGAGGGTGTCACTGGAGGTCTGGGTCGGAGGTCAGCTCTGCAGTGCTTGGGGTGGGCTGTGCCAGTCACAGGGGCAGCGTTTGCCTGAAGTGGAAACTGATGCACAAGGAAGGGCTAAACAGAAACGCGGAGAAAGACAGAGGGGTAAACCCTGATCATGACATGCCTGAAGCCCGCTTAGTTCTGGGCTTTTCAGTCTCTGAGCCATTACTTGCCCTCCCCTGTGGAAGCCTATCTGAATAGAATTTTCTGTTGTTGACAAGCAATAGTGTTCACACCGAAGGAACGGCTTGTTCCCCTACTAGACTGTAAGCCCCGTGAGGGCCACAGGAGTACTTGTCTAACTTGAATTTGCTCACAGGGAGCTCTTGCATGTTAACATCTCTCTTGACAAAGTTTAAGAATCAAGAGCTTTCATAAAGAGGTCCAGATGCTTTTCTTTTCTTTTCTTTTTTAAAGATTTATTTATTTATTTATTTGAGAGGGAGCACCGGCACGCAAGGGGGGAAGGGCAGAGGGAGAGAAAGAGTCTCAAGCAGACCCCACGCTGACCATGGAACCGGACGCGGGGCTCAATCCCACAACCCTGAGACCACGACCTGAGCGGAAGGCAAGAGTCCAACCCTCCGCGGACTGCAGCACCCAGACATCCCTGTTTTGCTTTTCTTGGACGAGTGGAGGCTTAGAGCCGCCAAGCTAAGATTCCTGCATCGCAAGGAGGGCCGAGCTGAGGGCCAGTTCTGAGGATGGGACTGGCAGCGGGGGGAGGGCCCAACAGAGGGCATCACCTTCCCCAGAAACATTTTCCTTGCAGATGGCGTCTCAGCTCATTTACATTGCGCGCCTGCCCCCTGCAGGCAAGGGAGTTAGTGATCCCCTTGGACACCTAACGGCCGGGTGAAGGGATGGATGAATGAATGGACAAATCCGTAAGACCCCCTTAGTTCCCGACACAGTGCATTACACAAAGTGTCGAATAGCTTTATCTGCTTCCTAAAGACCCATGAATTAGGTTGCTTTTCATGTTGTGCGGATTTCGACTTAAACCACGGTGGACAGGCATTTAGTTCCGGTGTGAAGTTTCTTTTTCTGCCTTTACTGGGCAAGCGGACCTCCGGGCGCTCGGAATCCCCTTCCCCGGAAGCCCGGCCCTTTACACGTTCTGTCCAGCAGGGGGCGACCACAACAACGAATAGAAGGAGAACCACCGCTTAAGGCGCAGCCCAGGCAAGGCGCCCCTTGGGGATGCTGAGCGGTGGAGGCATAATCAGGACGGGAGCCACCTTTCTGAGGGAGTGGGGGCGGGGGGGCTTTACTTAATCTATTCTGAATAGATAATTCCTTCCCATGGTTCAGGAATAGAACGGAACAAATCTCCTTTCTATCCCCTTCCCCTTTCGCCTGATTTCCAACCTCACCTCTACGACAGGTGCGACTGACTTTTCCCTCGTGTGCACTTCGAAGGTTTCTATGCATGCATGAACAAATAGAAATATCCACCTACGCGCCTAGCTTTACCCCAAAGCTAGCAGCTGAACGTATCGCTCTGTACCTCGCTTTGTGTGCTCATGATGGATCTGGTAGAATGTTCCACATCAGTCCACAGAGAAGGTCTCCCCTCCCCCACTCCAACCTCCCCTCCCCCATCTCTCTTTCACAGCTGCCTCAATTCTCCAGGGCAGACCCCGTCCTCATCTATTTGTCCTGTCCCGCCACCCTCGCCCCGCCCCACCATTGACGGGCACTCAGGTTGCTCGTAACCGCCTGCTACTGGGAATAAAGGTCCGTGAATAACCTTGAAAAGAATTACACACATGTGAGCGTGAGCATAGTCGGGGCTGCAGCCCCCCGCTGTGCAAGAGAATCACCCAGGGGGCCTTTAAATATCCCAACCCCCAGGCGGAACCTCAGATCGATTACATCAAAATCTCTGAGTGTGGGGCCAGGGCATCCCTGGAACTCTAGAAAGCAGCCAGGCCTGGGGACCACTGACCTCCAGAGGAGCTTGGTGGCTCAAGAGCACAGAGATTTGCAAATTTGCACTGCTTAATCTTTTGTTTTTACATTTCGTGTGAGACACTCTGGGTTTTTGTTTTGTTTTGTTTTCCTTGAAGAAGACTTCTTATATATTTGATGTATCCACCTTTTGTTCCAGCTTCTGGACTTGGCTGAAGGACCTTTCCCACCCCAGACTCGTGAAGACAGCTTCCCATGCTTTTCTTCTGCAACTTCTGCGGTTTCCTCTTCATATTTAAGTCTTTGATGCTTCTGGACTTACCCTGATTATTGATGTGAAGTAGGATTCCATCCTTGTTTTCTTTCCAATGGCCAATTATATCCTTACCTTTATCAAGGAGTAAGTTAGGAAGTGCTTTGGGCTACTTCAAACCCCTATTTGTTTTGTCTTTTTATTTATAGCAACACTGGCTCCTATTCTCAAAATGTGGTCCTGTCCACCTACCCATTTACCCGCCCACTGACTGACTGGTTCTTCTTGTTTGCCCCTGAGAATTTAATTATTAATTGGACATCCTCCCTGACTTTTTTGGATTTCTATTTAGGATTTCTCTTAACTACTTAGTAACCAACAACAATGACTTTCCATTGAGTATCTAATATATTTGTTTATATGTTTATATGTATATTTCAGTTGACCATAGACAAACCCATGAGGTTAGTATTATTTTATCCAATTTGAGGAACGTGGTCTCAGAGTTTTTGAGGCTTGCGGAAGGGCCCAAAGTTAGAAAGTAGCAGTGCTGGATGCGATTCAGAAGCCTGGTTTCCGGGTCAGGCCTTTTTACCTGCCTCCGCACTGTAACCGGTCTTTTGTGGAATGGGAGGATGAGGAATGAATGAGTGAGTCAGTGAGGGACGGAGGAAGACAGAATGAGTCAGCTCTCGCACTCAGAGGAACCCAAAGGGGGAGATAAGACGTGAATGCAAATAACCAGAATACAAAGTAAACAGTGATCCCACCAGCGTTTTGGAAGCAATCCACTTTCTGTCCCCTCCTATTTGAAATGCTTAATGCTTTCCAGTGCCTCCCCACCTAGAAACCAGAGAGCCGGATACCGGGGTGGGGGCAGTGTCGTCTGGCTTGCAGCGTTAAGTCACCCACATGGAGGCCCCCTTTGGAGGCACCGAGCTCTGCAGCCCCGAAGCCTGGGGGGTGGGGGCAGGGAGGAGGAGGAGGAGGGCAGAAGGAAGGAGGGAGGGAGGGAGTAGCGGAGGAACAGAGCTTGAGGAGGACGGAACAGGGAGGAAGGAGAAGGGGTTGGTGTTGGGGATAATGCGGAGAGGAAGAAAAGGAAGAGAGAAGAGGAAGAAAGGGAGGGAGGGGAGGTAAAAGAGGAGGGGAAGGGGTTAGGGAAGTGGGAGGAGCAAGGAGGGGGAGGGGAAGAGAGGTCCAGGGAAGGAATAAAGAGGGGGAGACACAAGGAAGGGGAGGGGGGAGGGGGAGAGCGAGTAAGGAAGGGTGAGGAAAAGGAGAAAGAGGAGTTGGGGAGGAGGAAATAGGGGGAGTTAGAGCAGAGAGTGGGTGACCGAGAGGGGGGTTGGGAGAAGAGAGGGGGCGGGAGGAGCGGAAAGCCCCTCCTCCAGCCCCCGCCGCGGAGTTGCGCAACCCTCCCGGACTGGGATTGGTCGTAGGCGAGTCAAGACGCCCCGCCCCCGAGGTCAGGCAGCCAATGGCCAGAGGGGGGCGTGGTGGAGCCGCCTGGGTCCCGGCGCGCGCTCCGTGCGCCCTCGGAGCCTCCGCCGCCGCGCTTGCAGCTCGCCGCTCGCTGCCCGCGTCGCTGTCGCCGTCGCCGCTGCCACCCGCCCTCCGCGTGTCCCCGCCGCGCTCCAATCCCTGCGGCCGGCCCGGGGCGCGCTCGGTCGCTCGGGGCAGAGTGTCCCCGCTGCGGGCCTGCGGCGATGGCCACCAAGATCGACAAGGAGGCTTGCCGGGCGGCGTACAACCTGGTGCGCGACGACGGCTCGGCCGTCATCTGGTGAGGAACTTTCCATTGCTCTCCCGGCCGCGCTCCCCGAGCTCGCCAGGGGCCTGGGGCACGGAGCCGGCTTCCGCACGGGACGGATTAAGGGTCATCCCGAGCTGTCTCCCGCAGCCTTAACGCAGGAGCGTGGAAAGCCAGCGCTGGCTTGTCCCCGGCCAGAGCATCTCTTAGATGGTCCTGCTGGAAGCTCGGCACCGTGCAGCTACTGCCGTCGCTGACGTGTGTGTGTGTTTTTTCTTCTCCCAATCCAAAGGGTGACTTTTAAGTATGACGGCTCCACCATCGTCCCCGGCGAGCAGGGAGCGGAGTACCAGGACTTCATCCGGGAGTGCACAGGTAGGGAAACGCGCCTTCGGGGGCAATTCCTGATCTTTCGGGCGATTGTCAACGCGGGAGGGGGAGGGCTGCAGAGGCCAAACTGGGAGGAGCCTGGCCACCCCGGGTGCCTCGGACGCTTTGAGGAACCCGATTTGAGGTTTTTAAAAGCCTCTCAAAGCGTGCTCCTCTCGACATCCAGAGCGATAGAGCTGGCCGCCTGCTTGCTCGTTGCTCCCTGCAGTACCGTCTCCAGAAGACACAGCTTCTTTGCTCCCTGCGGGTCACTGATTTTTTTCAAGGGTCCACTCTCTGTGGTTCCAACCTTGCGTTAAGCTTTCCCCACCATCCCCTGTCTTCAGCCAGTGAGCCAAAATAAAAACACAATCCTGGAGCTTATTGTAGGAGAAAGAAACTGTCAGCTGTCCCCTCCCTTCTCCCAAGCTCATTGTGAGCGTGCTGGTCACACATGCGTGTTTTTTATTGGTAGAATACAGAGCCACCAACGAAAAGGCAAAGCGAATCTGTGGTGTGACAAGTAGAATGGTGGTCACATTTTGAAGTAGATAGCCACTGACTGGGAGGGGCACACGGGAGGCTCAGGGGCACTGGAGATGGCTCATATTTCCATCTGGGAGGTGGGTACACAGGTGTGTACATATGTAAGAAGTCCTCAAGGAAAATGCTTACGATTTGTAAACTTCTTTCATTTCCCTGGGGTGTGTTAAGCCTTTGAAAGAAAGGAACACATGGTGTATGGAATCACAGACCTTTCAGTAGCAGCAAAAGGCTCAGCCTCCTTGGTAATAGGACCCGTTGGAGCCCAGAATAGAGAATGAACTCTCTCCAGGTCTCTGGTCCCTAGTGTTGAAGCAGATGTGCAGACAAAGGCAGTGTAGCTTGGAGGTTAGGCAGGAGCCCTGAGCTGGCAAGTTGGGTTTGAATTGCCGAGTAGCCACCTCCTAGCTGTGTGGTTTGGGGTAAGTTACTTAACCTCTCAGGGTCTTGGTTTCCTTACCTGTAATCTTGGAAGGCTGTTCTGAGGATTGGCGAGTCCGTGTGTGGAAAATGCTCCAACACAGTGCTTATAACAAACTACACGGTCATTTGTGAAACAAAGAAAAAGTTCAAAATTGTGCCACGGAACACGTGGCGGCTCCCCTCTGTGACTGTTTCCTTAACCAAGTGATAGTTTGCCTTTAGTCTAATTGGAAGAATATTTATGAAGTGTCTGCCCCTGGGCAGGGGGTACAAAGGTTTTGTTTCGTTTTTTAATGTTCTCCCAATTAAAATGTCTTCCTGCAAGCTGCCTCTAAATGCCACTCCTTGCTTTTGTAAAGGGTCGGTTTAAAATATCAGATGTGCAAGGTACGGCAACAGTTCACTTTCAGTAATGCATGGAGGGCCTCTCATGGAGAGCCCATGGGTTAGGATTTGAACTCAGGCCCCTGACTAAGGAGCCCTTTCTCTCTACCACTTCTACTCTTCCTCCCCAGTGGCAAATGCTCTTGCAAGTAGAGTAAGTGCCTACTCTTGGCTTTCCCCCATTTGGTGCACATCTAAGAGATTCAGCAGTATTTTTTGCCTTGTCGGATCAGAGGCTTTGTCTCCCAGGCCAGCTTCCCCCCTTCACTGAACTCAAGAACAGAAAACTAGCAGTTTCTTTCCTCCTGCTGACCATCCATCACCCACCCCCCCCACCTCCCCCATCAGACTTCGTTTTGCTCCTGAAGCTATTGTTCTCCCCACCCAGAAGGAGAAGGTGACCCAAGGATGAAAGCGCACAGATACTGAACAGATGCTCCAGGCCATTGGGTGAAGCTGGAAGGGCTTGGTGCCTTCAGAGAACACTTTCTTCCTCCCCTGGGCTTTGCAGGGGGTGGGGTGTTACTCTGACCCTTCCCCCAACCAGCAGGGAAGCAGGGATGGGAGTGCCTGGCAGAGGGGGCGGGGGCACTAAAAATGCTTTCCCTGCTGCTTGTTGATCTTATGAATGGGCTGTGGGATCTGAAGGCTCAGTCTGCTTTGGCTGGAAATCTGCCTGCCTTCCCCGGCCATCTGTTGGACAAATGTATAGGCGAGTTATAGTTGCTGTGTCTGCTCTGGTTCCTCTTGGAGACACGTGTTCCTTCCCCCAGCCGTGTCCTCATAACCTAGTGACAGAGGACTCAGAGCTCCTACTATTAACTTTACATATGCAAGTCGCTGCACCTGATGTGCCTTGTCTCCAAGACTGGGATCGGTCCCTTTCCACAGATGAGTACAGCAAGACCTGGGGAAGTTAATAAGTGACTTGCCTGCGATCACATAGGACGTGGTAGACCTGGGACTCGAACCCAGGCAAGCTGGCTGGAAGGCCTGTAGTCTTGGCCTCATCTCTAAGGAAGTGGGTTAAGATTTTTTTTTTTTTAAGTTTTATTTATTGAGTAATCTCTATACCCCATGTGGGGCTCAAACTCATGACCCTGAGATCAAGAGTTGCTTGCACTTCCAGCCGAACCATCCAGGCATCCTGGAAGTGGTTTATGTTCTCACCTCCCAGCCTGGAGGTTTCTTCGGGTTCATAGGTTCTGGTCAGGCCCCATGAAACTGTTTGCAGGTTGCAGGAGACATGCTTGCCCACTTACATGAAGCAGGGAGGGCTCTTTGAGCCCCTAATTCCCAGGCAGGTGTCCTGACAAGCCAGAGGGGCCCATGCTATGAGAACAGGCTCCCCTTCTGGCCCAGCCTTCCTGTTTCCAATCATCTAACAAGGTGGTCGGAGGGCTTGGAAGCCAGAACCAGCACCTGGTCTCTCCCTCCATCGGCGATGGGGTGTGGGGGGAGAGGGGGACAGTTTCCTTCTGGGCTTTCTCCCCTCCCTGACAGCCCCTCTTCTGGCATTCTCTCTGACGCACCCTTCTTTCCCACGCCTGTGCTCTGCTTCTCCCTCTCGTCTCTTCATGCTCCCGGGCCTGGCTTCTCCTTGTCCACTGCAGCTGTTTTCTGGAAGGTCTCTCGTCTTGTTTCTGCTAGGAGAATTTGGAGCTCCCTGTGCTGTGTCCTGGCTCTTCTGGTGCTGGATGCATGTGGCCCCTCGTTCGGCACTCATCACTCCACCAGTGGCCCCGCTCTTGACACCTCACCACCCCGCCCAGCACCTCAGTCCCCTGAGACCTTGCAGGTGCAGAGGGAGAAATCTCACGCAGATTAGTTTAGGCAAAATGTCACTCTGTAGCCTCCATGGTTAGGAAGGCCCAGGGGATTATTAGCTGCAGGTGAGGCTGCCCAAACTCAGAACCCCCTCCCTGCTCCCTCCCCTAGCTCTGCCTTTCTCCTTTCTTACTCTTCTTGGGGACAGGAGGCCATCATCTCCCTGAGTGGTGATACAGATGGCCACAAGCCAGGCTGGCTTCCAGGCCTTGGGCAGAGCCATCCCTGTGGGGAGAGGGAGACCCTTGACCAATGACTCCAGTGGAATTTTCCAGATTGACACACACACCTTGCCCTGGCTGGGTTCTTGTGCCCGTCCTGGACCAGTCAGGGGGACTCTGGCTGGCTAGGCCTGAATCAATGCCCACCCTGGGAGCTGGGGAGGGGGCAGCCCCACCCAAACCAGGAAACCGAGTTGGGAGGGTAGCTTCTTCTTCTTCTTCTTCTTTTTTTTAAGATTCTATTTATTTATTTGACAGAGATCACAAGTAGGCCGAGAGGCAGGCAGAGAGAGAGGGGGAAGCAGGCTCCCTGCTGAGCAGAAAGCCTGATGCGGGGCTTGATCCCAGGACCCTGAGATCATGACCTGAGCAGAAGGCAGAGGCTTTAACCCACTGAGCTACCCAGGCGCCCTGGGGAAGGTGGCTTCTTGAGGGAAGAGTGGCAGTGTGTATGTTGGGAGGCAGGCTGTTTCCAGAAGAGAGGCAAACCAATTGCAACAATCTCTTAGCCCTTGATCTTTTTTGTCTTATATCCATTTTAGTCCCATTGCTAGAGTAATTCTTCCTAAAGCCCATCTCTGACCAAGTCACTCTACTGCTCCTTAACCTTCTGTGGCTCCCTTTTGCCCATGGAATTTGGCACTAGCTGTCTGCTTGCAGCTCCAGTCAGTTTGTCCCCACCCGCATATCATGCCTACACTCTTCTTTGTGCACCTGCAGCCTGATGATACCTTCCAACCTTTGATTTTGGAGGTTCCCTCCAGGCAGAATTCCTCTTCCCCATCTCTGCCCCCCAGCCAGCCCAGAGTGATGTCTTCTTTATTTCAAGAACCCAGAGTTAGAAAAGCTCTTGAGTCACATCCCAGCTGTGTCTCTTGCTTGCTATGTGACCTTGGGCAAGGACCTCCCTTTCTCTGTGCCTCAGTTTCCTAGTCTGCAAAACGGGGATCCTGCCAGTGCCTACCTCTGACAGTGACTGGGAGTGTTAGCTGAAATAACACATTCAAAATGAGAGCATGGGCCCCTGATGCACCAGGCTGTGCTTACTGTTACTTTTTACTGTTTTTGCTCTCCTAGCTCTTTGGATGGCATTGTGCTTTCTGTGCACACCCTGGCTCAGTGCTCAGTAGGCACACAGCTCCTGATTAGCCCCAGTGGGCGCTCAACCCCAGGCTGGCAAGCAGTAGGCGTTCAGACCCATGTGGATGTGTGTTAGACCTTTGGCCTTGGTCTGCATGCAGAAGGTGCTCGGTACATAAGCATCTACTGCCCGGTGGTTAAAGGTGTAGGCTGTGTTGAATGGCCAGGGTTCCAGGTCTCATCAGTTATGTGACCTGGGGCAGGTCACCTTTGCTATAACGTTGTCATTAGGAGGATCAAGGAAGCAATTCCACAGCAGCAAGGATGTCCTAAGTGGTCCTAAAGTGTTAGTTACAGTGATTGTCACCTTGTTGGTGGAATTTAATTGATGTGGAAGCAGAGTGTGTGGTCTGAGAGCACCAGAAAGGTGGGAGAGGGTAAAGAAACCAGGGGGGAGGAATTGGGTACAGGACTGCATCAGGGGGCGAGCGGTACCCCTGAATTATAGCAGAAAGGGCTCACAGATCT